AAGACTACTCATATTTTAAGAAATGCTAGTGGTCATAAGATGGATATTGATTATAAAATTCCCAAAGCTTATATTTGTACAAACAATGTTTGCATTCCTGAAAGTTTTGTTTTAATAAAAAACATTTCAAATGAAATTATTCTTGGAATGCCTTTCTTTTGGAAAATTTATCCAATTACTTCTTGGGATCATACTGGTATTACTGGAAATTTTGAAGGGAAAAGGGTTAGGATTGATTTTATATCTCCACCTTATTCTAAATTCATAAATGAAGTTAAAGATTTAATTTCTTTAAAGAACAAGCAAATAGGCTTTTTGAAAAATGAAATTTGTAGTCTTACTATTGAAGAGACTCTACAAAATCCTAAATTACAGGAAAAAATTGAATATTTAAAAAATCAATTTTCTTCACAAATTTGAGGTGATCACCCAAATGTTTTCTGGGAGAGAAAAAAACATATTGTTAGTCTTCCATATGAAGAAAATTTCTCAGAAGATTATATTCCTACTAAGGCAAGACCTTGCCAAATGAATTCAGATTATTTAGAATTATGTAAGAATGAGATTAATAGTCTCTTACAGAAAGGTTTAATAAGACCTTCAAAGTCACCATGGTCTTGTACTGCTTTTTATGTTAATAAACATGCAGAATAAGAAAGAGGAGTTCCTAGACTCGTTATAAATTATAAACCTTTGAACAAAGTTTTGAAATGGATCAGATATCCTATTCCTAATAAAAAGGATTTACTAAATCGTCTTCATGAAGCTATTATATTTTCAAAATTTGACTTAAAATCTGGTTATTGGCAGATTCAGATTTCTGAAGCTGATAAATATAAAACAGCTTTTAATGTACCCATGGGACAATATGAATGGAATGTTATGCCATTTGGTTTGAAAAATGCCCCATCGGAATTTAAAAAAATAATGAATGATATTTTCAATCCTTTTAGCAATTTTGTAATTGTTTATATAGATGATATCTTGATATTTTCTAAAAGTTTAGAAACCCATTTCAAACACCTTGATTTATTTAAGAAAATCATTATTCAAAATGGTTTGGTTATATCTAAAGCAAAAATGCATATTTTCCAAACTACTGTTAGATTTTTGGGTCACAATATTGAAAAGGGAAAAATCATTCCTATTCAGAGAAGCATAGAATTTGCATCTAAATTCCCTGATATCATTACGGATAAAACACAGCTTCAAAGATTTTTAGGAAGCTTGAATTATATTTCTCCTTTTATAAAGGACTGGGCAAAAAATGCTGCTCCATTATATGAAAGGCTTAAGAAAAATGCTAAGCCATGGACAGAGGATCATACGAAAGCTGTTCAACAAATTAAAAATAAGGTTAATAACCTTCCATGTCTTGTTCTAGCTAATCCCAGTTGGAACAAGATTGTTGAAACAGATTCCTCTGATATAGGCTATGGAGGAATTTTAAAACAAATCTCCCCAGATGATAATAAGGAATATCTAATACAATTTTATTCAGGAAAATGGAATAATAGCCAAAGAAATTATGCTACCATAGCTAAAGAAATCTTGGCTATAATAAAAAGTGTTCTAAAATTTCAAGGAGACCTTTATAATCAAAAGTTTATCATAAAAACTGATTGTCAAGCTGCTAAATTCATCTTTAATAAGGATGTAAAACATGATGTTTCTAAACAGATGTTTGCTAGATGGCAGGCCTTATTGGCACCTTTTGATTTTGAAATACTTTATAAAAAAGGAATAGATAATAGTCTTCCTGATTTTCTGACTAGAGAATACCTAATCAAATAATTCTCTTTTGCAGCATGATGAGGCCATCTTGGCCCTCTTCCTCTAATAGAGGAAAGGGGAGAGGACGAGGAGGAAGGACGAACAATAATGTCTTAGCTCAAATCGGAAATCAGAGGCTTATAGCCGCAAATATCACAAAAACATCTGCTAGCACATCTACTGGCATATCAGGGATAGACGCAAGAAATCCAATGTATAAAGAATTTATGGATTTTATAAAATTCAGACAACAAGAACAGCCATCATACTCAGCAGTGGCCAATGAAGAGGTCATTGAAAATATTGAAGTCTATGACCAAAATGATTTGGATGAAATAATATTAATTCTAGACCCAAGGGATCTACAATGGAAGGATGAACCTTGGCAAATCATGACAAGGTATTTTGACACAGCATCATATGTTGTCCCGACTTATAAATTCAGAATGCATTATGAGATTATACTCTCATCCATGGGATCAGCTGAATTCCAACATTTTTACCCAGCAAATACTAGAAAAGTTTATAACTTTTCTAAAATAATCATAAAAAAGATAGTTACTCCAGAAGAATGGGGAACTAGTACAATGAGGGAGAGAGAATATACTCACCCAGAACAGAAAACAGCAGTAAGATTTAATTACTGGGATTATGTGGAAAGCTTTAATAAAGCTCTGTTATATGAGAACGCTAATAGAAAGCATTCATGGTTTATCAAGATTTGCTCTAATAATTTTAAACAAAACATCCCAAATTGGTTTTGTAAATGGTGGACTTTATATGGTCTCACAATAAATATTCTTCCTGAGAATTATAAACGATTATATGCAGAATGGGTGGATATATCCCCCAAGATCTTACAATTACAAAAAGATGATATTTATTTTAAAGGGATTTCAATAATGTATTTCTTTATAGAATTTTCAATTCCATGGATAATGAAATGGACAATTGAATTCCAAACAGATGGACAAGAATTTCCTTGCCTCAAGAGGAAATTTCATACAAAGTTTTGGAGTAAATTACTCCACAAAAATCCAGAAGGACAATTACATGGACAGGAGATAATAGACTCCATTAACATTTCCATTGAAAAAGGTAATAACCAGAATGGTTCATCAACAGATAGGGGATGGGAGTATAAACGGTCAAATTTTGAAAAGGGGTCCAGCCGGGTCGGGTCGGGTTAATTTCATTAATCGCGCGACGATACCCCGACGACGGTCCATCGCACATGCGACGCCCCGTAGTGGTGTCCGTCGTGTGTGCCCTAATTTCAAAAATGACAGAAATACGTACCTGGTGTGACGGTGTATACGACGGTCTGTTTCACACGCGACGGTCCGTCGTTGTATCCGTCAGTGGCTACTGCGGAGTAGTTTTCTGAAGAATTTCCTGGTGATGTGCCTGCAAATTTAAAACCCATTTATAGAAAAATGCTACCATTATTAAAAAGACGACAAGTATTGGGTTGCCTCTCAACAAGCGCCAGATTTAACGTCGCGGCACGACTGGGGCCACTTGATTACTCAGACTTCATCAAGATGGCATGCCTCTATCACTTTATTCCCCGATGCTTTATGCCCAAAATAGAGTTTTATTCTATCTCTATTCTTCTTAAACCGCACTCCCTCCTTGGCTTTTAACTCAACTGTCCCATGAGGGAATACTTGGGTAATCAAGTAAGGGCCAGTCCATTTGGACTTGAGCCTACCTGGAAGACAAGGCACCCCAGAACTGTCTACAAGTACCAAATCCCCAACCACAAACTCTTGTTTTGCAAATTTTTGTTCAGTCCCCTTCTTCATCTTTTCTTTGTGGGATATGGCAGATACCGATTGGAGCTCACCACTCTGCCTCATGGTCCTACAAATGTTGAAGGTTGCTTCTTCATTATTCAACCGAAATGTCATCTGTCCCTTCTCCATGTCAACTAAGGCTCTACCTGTAGCAAGAAATGGCCTCCCAAGAATAATGGGCACCTCGAAATCGACTTCGCAATCAAGAATCACAAAATCTGCTGGAAAGATGAATGACTCCACTTTTACTAGCACATCATGGAGTATCCCTATGGGCTTTTTCACAGTCCGATCGGCCATCAGTAGCCGCATCGCAGTGGGTTTTGGATCCCCCAAACCCAACTTCTTGTAAATTGAGAGGGGCATTAGATTTATGCTTGCCCCCAGATCACATAATGCTTTCGCAAAATGTAATGACCCAACTGTGCAAGGAATAGTGAACGCACCCGGATCTTCTTTCTTTTGTACTAGGGATCTTGTAGCGATAGCACTATAATGTTGCAATCTATCATCATCCTCAAACGTGACCGATCTTTTCTTGGTGACCAGATCTTTCATAAATTTGGCATAACCGGGCATTTGTTCTAGAGCTTCTACCAAAGGGACATTGATAGAGAGATTCTTTAACATTGTTATGATGCGCCGGTATTTACCATCCTCAGTCTTTTTTACTAATCTCTGAGGGAAGGGTGGTGGTGGCCTAGGCATGGGGATTACCTTGATAGGTACTTCTGCATCTGTTCCATTACTTTCATCTGTTTAACCACTACCCTTTACCACCTTATTATTATCCTTTCTTACATTTTTCTCAGCAGATGGCATGGGTGGGTCAATGGTTTGCCTACCAACCCGAGTAGTAATTGCCATACAGTGTGCATCATTCTTTTGGATTTTGGACAGTGTTGCTAGGAAGGGTGCCCGGTTGCCGTGTGTTCACTGTTGTAGATAATTGGGCCACTTGCAATTCGATCTGTTTAATCGAAATTGCGTGTGTGTCCACTTTTTGCACAATACTAGCTAACTCACCCCTTAATTCTTTAATGTGCTCATCACTAGCATCGAACCTCCTCATCATTTTGTGCAACATATCCTCAACTCGCGCCATACTATCTCCACCATCCCTAGGAGTAACTTCACGATTTTGAGGAGGAACATAGGGTCCACTCCTATCGTTTCTATTACCATAGTTACTCCTGTTGAAGTTGTTGTCGCGGTTGTAGTTACCATCTCGGACATAATGACCCTCACGGTTGTAGTTACCATAAATCCGACCTTGGTTACCTTGACCTTGGCGCCAATTATCCTGATTTGAGCCTTGGGCGCTTGGTCGGAAACCCGCCATTTGTTCATTGACTGCATAGGAATCCTCCTCATAGTAACATTCACCGTTAGGGGGTGGTGGTTTATCCAAGTAGTTGACTGCATTAAGCTCATGTGGTTTTATTATCGGTTATTAGTAGCTTCCACAGTTAAGTCAGACTCTATTGCATTGACCATTTGTCAGTATATTCACTATTTAGTTTCAACATGTTATGAATTGGTCATGGAATTCAGTTATCTCCTCATTCAGTATATCATGTTTAGAAAAATTTTACTTGCTTTTTTTCTTGTTCTGTTATGTCAGACTCTATTGCATTGACCATTTGTTAGTATATTCACTATTTAGTTTCAACATGTTATAAATTGGTCATGGCATTTAATTATCTCCTCATTCAGTATATCATGTTTAGAAAATTTTTACTTGCTTTTGTTCTTGTTCTGTTATGTTTTAGTTCAGCTTTACTCTATAGTTTATGCTCAGTACCTTTCAAGTACTAACACATACGTCTGCTACATCTTCTCGTGATGTCGGTTAAGGTTCACAGCATCCCGATCACGCTTAGATCGACTTCCGATCTCTATTTTAGCAGAAGTAGTGGTGAGTCCTCATTCTGCGATGACAACGGTCATGAGTTTCGTTTTAGTATTTTAGCCTTTAGTTTTACTTTTTCTAAACTTAGCTAGAACTCTCCTAGCATTTCTAGTCAATTTAGAGGTTAGTTTTAGACATAGTTAGTTTCAGCTTAGCATTGAGTTAATATTTTCTTGTATTAAACTCATTTGGTTTCAAATAAATATTTCATCTATATATGAGTATTCCCCATATTTTCATTTTCAGTATGATTTAGCTTCCGCATCAGTTTATATTCATTAGTATTCTCATGATCATACCAGTAGGTTTAGCTTGAGATCACTTGTGGTCTTAGGTCTCGTGTCTGCGTCTCAGGGGTAGCTCGGGGCGTGATAATTTTATTCCATTTCTATACTTAATACCTTTAAATTAACTTATACTACTAATGTACAATGTCATGTAAACTTTAAACTCAAATGCCACCTGATGATCTCAAGTTTTATAAACTTCCATTGGTTTCAATTTAATGAGGTCACATTAAAATATGCATGAAGTTTCACTTTAAACCTATTCTATTGTCACTAGTTGCACATGAAACTGAGTCCATAACTATACCACAAGGAAATTTATAAGTGTCATATAAATAGAACTATTACACGCAGAATAAAGGTGTTACACTCAAGACTTTGTGAATATATGTGGTTGTGTTGATATAGTATATCTATGAAAGACTACCTTAGGTGACTTCAAGGTGATACATTGTACTAAATACACTTCATGGTTGCTTATGGAATGATGTTGAGGTAAAAAGAAGAAGTAATATGTCATATGTAATGAATGTGCCTCAAAATGTGATAAGTGGTTTTTATGTGTTGTTATAAATCGCATCCATGTCTACATTATGTATGTGAACTATGTTGTGGTTATTATGCCAATGTTCATGAAGTTTACTAAAAAGGCATGATGCATAGTTTCTAACTAAATGTCCTCTTTAAATGCATGTTTTTGCATGGTTGTCATACTTAGTGCATGCTTCAACTAATATCATTCTTCTTCATCTTTTTATACAAAGTGTAGATGTTGATGACTAGAGGATGTCTCCTAAATGAAGGGCTTGGATAGATCTCCCAATTTCAAGAAAAAGGAATCTTATGGTAAGAATTTCCCATGTCAATTTTTTATTCAAATGATGTAATAGTTTAGATATTAGTTTATGTTGTTAAGGGTCGTGTCTCTATTCTATTCTATTGATTTTTGTCTTCAGATGGTGTAACACCTTGAAAATCCAAGACTTATCGTAAAGCGTAATAGGTGTCATAAGGTCTAAGTACTATTTCTAAGTCCATTTTAATGAATATAGGTCATTTAGGAGGTTTAAGAACCAAAACATCCAAGAACATCCATGACTTCCGGGAAGTTGGTTCAAAGGGGTGTTCGTGTATCTTAGCCTATTTTACTAACTTTTAGGAGTCAAAAAAGAACGAAAAATTGGTGGAAAGGTAGCTAATAGGTTTTTGAGTTGTTTCATGGTTGAAACGTCTGGGTATGACCCCCCAAGGACCAACCAGGGGCCCTTGAGGTGGACCCTTGTAGTTTGATGCAACACTGCCTGGTAGTGTGCATCGACGGGACGTAAGAAGGCTCGTGTGAGGATTGACGTGGCGTCGAAGCCACCGTCATCCCAAACTTAGGTTGTTTGAGAAGGTCCATTCACCTGCACCACCTCTGAACTCATCGATTTAGTGCAGAGGTGTAGACCATAGTTCGTGTGTGGATCGACGGGGCGTCGATGCCACCGTCGTCCCACATTTAGCCAATGCATGGAATCCCCTTTCTTGCACAATCTCTGAACTCATTGATGGAGTCTAGGACAAAGGGTGAGGGACCTTCGACTCACAGATGGCTCGTCGATCAGGGTTTCGTCTGTGAGGGTCGAGTTTTTTGCCTAATTTAAGTTGGTCCTCATTTAATTAGTTAGAAGGTTAGGCAGTTTAATTAGGGGTTAAGGGAGTCTAATTAAGTGGATTTAAGACCCAATATATATACTCCCAGCTCTCATTAATCTAAAGACAAATCTCAAATAAACTCTCTCTCTCTCTCTCTTTGATCTCTCTACTTGAACTCACCATGTGAAGGCTAGCAAGGATTAGGGTTTGGGGGCTGAAAAGGGACGAATTAACCATCAAATTGTTGTCAAACGTTAAGGTATGGATTCTATTCACCTTTGAGACTCTTTTCTCAAAGGGTTCTTTCAAAATAGATTTCAAAAGTTGAGTTTTTTTATGGGTTTCATTCAATTACGAAATTGAAGTTATGAATTCAGTTGTTAATGATTACTTTAGGTTACATTGAATAGAGAAACATGTAATTTAACTTTTTTATGGTAATTGTTGATGTTTTGGTCTAAATTGAAGAACATGATCCTCAATCCCTAACGCTAGGTAGTGATCTTGACCTATATTGTATTGTGATCATTCAATTGACTTTGTTATTGATTAGATTAATATCCTATGGTGTTATTATGATTAAAATTAAGATGAACTATAGGACTATTATGCTAGTTTTTGAGATGTGATTTAGGTTATGAATTGTAATGTGAAATTAGCCAATGTATCTTGTCTTAAGTTGTGAGCTAGTGTTGAATTATCTTATAGAGATGCAATTGGCCTTATATCACACCCGGATTCTGGAATTCGGATGCGACCGACGTCGTTAACCTCTCAGAGGTCTCAGACTCACAATCATATAGTTAAATTTCCGAAAAATTCAAAACTTTTTAATACTTAATGAAGTGTACATAGACTTCATATAACTACTATATATAGTGATATTCTAATAAGCTCAAACTAAACAACCATCTATCAATAGATTAAACAATTGAAATAAATGATCGTAATAATAATAATAGCTTGCGAATCGACATTATTACAAATGCTTGAACAAATGTTTGAAATAAAACGCTATGGACAACAACCACTAGCTATATCTAATGTATTAAGATAGAATAATAAATGTAGCATCCTCGAACTTAAGAGGACCTACCAAAGTCTAGAGATCGCTAGTCCAAACCGCTTCTTTGAGTCTTCAATCTTCTCTAGAAGCTGCGCCTATAAAAATAGTAATAGTATATGGGGTTAGTACACACATGTATTAAGTATGGGCGTATGAACATAACACATCAAGGAAAGCTTTTCCTAAAGCAACATGCCATTTCTTGAAAGTTAAGTCTCTTTACTTTCTTAAATCATTACTTCTTATTTATTATATGAATATGACATGTTCTCATGCAATCAATCCATACAACTCATTTTCTATATGAACATATGACCTTGGAATCATGATCATAATTTTAGAACAACTTAAACGGAAATTTATATTTTTGCTCCCTCTAAGCCGAGAACTCCTTTCCGTCACTTTAGATTATTTTTCAGTCTTTTCTTCTTTCTGTTGTGTAGTTCGATGATCTCCTTTAATCTTATGTCAAACTTAATAGTGCAATGATTCATTATAGTCCCATACCTACAATGAGTCGAGTAAGTAATCCAAAAGACTCAAGAAATGATTTGGCTACCTTACTTACAAGTTATATCTTCTATTCTTGTTAAATTGACATAAGTCTTTATAAGCCAATCTTTATTACCTATGCCCATTATGTGGTTGTTTGCATAGTATAAGGATATTGGAGCATTGATTAGCCATTAATTTTTGCTCCCTTTTATTGGTATAATAGAAGAAGTCATTATAAGTCAATCTTTATTGGCTATACCCATAACTTGTTGAAACATCATTCTTATCGAAATTGGTAATTGATAGTCTTGAGCTCATACTTCTTAGTTCACTTTGAACTTACGTTTCTACTTCTTTGATTTGTTGTTCACTGTGAACATGCTATTTTCATTCTTTATTAGTTTCATTAAAGAATTCTTTAGCATTAATGGAAGTAGATCATGCGAGCTAACATTTAATCTAGTGTCTCCCTCACACCTAAATGAGGTGATTCACCGGTTAAGGTGAACCAAATTCTTTGTCTACCCCACACTGAGAAAAGGGGGGTTCACTAGCTAAAGTGCAACCAAGTTAGTGTCTTCCCCACACCGAAAAGAGGGGTTCAGCTAAAGTGAATTAGATACTTTCCTAAGCTATAACCGACATTGATCATGTGAGATAGACATGAAATCCAGTGTCTCCCCCACGCCGAAAAGAGGTGGAATCACCGGCCAAAGTGAAACCTACTGCTAGCCTTCTTAGGCTAGTACCCCTATGCTGGGAAACATAGTTCGAAGACTAGGAGACATACAGAGACTTACATGTTCTAGCACAAGCTCATTGATAGTCTATCTGTGCTAAACTCAGATTTACATTACTTTCTTATCTCTTAGAGTATGACTAAACATTAAGGAAGCTTGCTTCTAGTTATGAGATTTACTTAACTCTATGGATGACTGGTCATCCCTTTCTTTGCTTGATGAACATTAACTTAGGTCTTACATTATCATCATGGTGCAAGTGAGACTTGTCTCATGGACTCTGGCACACTTTTATGTTAGTATTTTTGACGTAATATATTGACTGTAATTGCCACTTGTCTCACTTCTTTTAACACTCTATATTAGGTCAATTTCATAACTTAAGATTTTAGTTACTTCATTACTCACCTTAACTTGTTCAACATTCATTGGTAGTTTTGTACAATTCTCTATGGAAGTTATAATAACTACTTATACAATGCTATTGCGTTCACAAGTTCGTGTGGATAGGGTATGTTGGGACTTGTCCCATAGATTGGCATACCCTATATTATGAGTTCATTAATGTAGTGATTGGTATGCCTTTACACGTTTTGGAAATAATAGGTTGGACATAGTTTTGCTAGCCAATTTGTTGACATAAATTACAATTTCATAGATACTTGTAATAACAATGTCTCTATCCATGCCAATCACTTCATAAATACATTATAATAAACTTTCATGATAAACAAGCCAACTTTTTTTAAACTTATATTATCATATGATAAAATTCAATGAACACTTATAACAATTTCACCTTCTCGAACACAAGTAGACATTACAATACTTCAACGTTCATGTAGATAAAACTCTAAGTATGCTGATATAAATTGTAGGTTTTGTTTGACAATAAAATCATGGAAACATACACATAATAATCAGTTAACACCATATACCAACAACATGCTCGAAATTCACATCATACAACTTCCAAGAATCGGAAATCGGGAGAACTAGGGAGATGAACATGCAATTCATTGGGAACAACGCTAGTTTTGATATTCTTGATTGCAAAAACGTTTGGAAGTACTCTTGGAGAAAGAATTCCAGGAGATAAAACAAATACCTTATGTAGAATTGAATCTACAAAGATCACCTTGCATGAAAACCTTGAAGAATACCTTGAAATCGCCTATGAGAATCGAGATATATTTTCTGTTTTCATCAAATTTGTTTAGTGTTTTGCAGTCGAGAGTTTTCTAGTGTTTGAACGTGAGTCTAGGTTTTAGAAACTGAATATTTAGTAATTTAACTTAGACTAATTAACTTAATTAATAAATCAATTAGCTAATTTACTAAAGAAACCCTCCTAAATTGACTAGAATTAGAAGAACACTTGACTTAACCAAATCTAGACATTGCTTAGTGGTTTCGGTTTTGACTAATTAAATTAATTAATTAAGTTTCTAATTTAAATAAATAGGTACCTATGGTAATTACTAAAGTACCCCTAAGTTGTTAGGGCCATAAGCAACCCTTTGGAACATCCTAGGTTATGTAATAGGATGTTTCTTATTTAGTTACTTGTCTAGTGTAAGGGTTTCGATTTGACCATTTGAATTAATTAATTAAGTTGTTATTTTAATTTATTAAGTGACCTAGGGTAACTACTAAAGAACCCCTAATTTTTTAGTACCATAACCAACCCTATGGACCATCCTAGATTAGGTACTAGGATGTTTCTTAGTTAGTTACTTGTCTAGTGTAAGGATTTCGGTTCGCCCATTTAAATTAATTAATTAAGTTTTTAATTTAATTAATTAAGTGAGCTAGGATAATTACTAAAGTACCCCTAAGTCATTAGGGCCATAACTAAACCTTTTGGACAAACCTAAGTTAGGTACTAGGATGTTTCTTGAGTTAGT